CCAGCACTTCTGCTATCCCAGGAGCAGAGGGGTATTAGTCCAGAATGTCCTAGACTGACCCAGAAGCCTGAGTGAGTGGACTAGATGAAATAAACGTATGGGCATTCAAATGTGAACTGTGCTGGCCTTGCCTGTGAGTAACCCCGTCTTTAATGAGGCAGAACACCTGGCTTTAAACCACCAAATGACTAGGCTTAACCGTGGGAGTGAGAGAGGAGCCCCAGGGCTGGCATTTGCTAATTGCTCTCCCCACTTGCCAGTAAGGGTGGACTGCGGGAGGTCAGCCTGAGTAGCCTGGAGGCAGAGAAACAGTTTAAACAGTTTATCTCTGCCAGCCAGGGATCAGCTAACCCGAATCATTTCTTCAGTGACCTTGGGCACCAGAGTAGGGCCCTCAGAATCTCAGCCAGTGGGAGAAAGAATGGACAGAGAAGGCAAGAGAGAGAGGCTGGGGAGACTGACCCAATTAGCACATCAATCCCTGCTGCCGAAACAGCTAATCAGATGACAGCAAGCCACTCCCCTCCCAATCCCTACAGAATGTTTTAACCAAGTCTTCGCATATGCACCATGCTGCCCACTGCTCCTGGTCCTTCACCTCTGGGGTCTTCAAGGATCTGGAGTCTTCTCTGTTCTCTCCCCAGGGCACTAGCTCTTACTGGAAGAAACACACCACCTCCTATACAAATGCCAGTCTAACAGACAGCTGGCTGCTCCCTTTGCCGGTCTCAGGTCAGATTCCCAAGAAACAGCCTCTGAGATGGGGATATTGAGAGTGTTTTTAGGGTCAATGTTATGAGGGAGTGAAAGAAGCAGGATTGGGGTGGCCATCACTACAGACCCCTAATCCCTACAGGGCTGACCCTACTTCTGTTTCTCTCTTAGTCTCACCCCACTCTCATCATCTCATCTACCACTCAGAGGGGAGGTGGTCCCTCCGCACAACTTGATCCCACCTCCCTGACATCCTGTTAGCCCCCACAGGCCTCCATTTCCCTGGGCTAGGTTCTCTGTTCCTCACCTCACACCAGCTATTCTCAGCTTCCTCGCAGGGCACTAATTCTGGCCCAATTATCAATGTTGCCAGGAATCTAGACTCCTGAGTAGCTCAGGTGCTGTTCAAGTCCTTGCCTCAAACAAGCAGATTAATAAGAAAAATAAAATGACCACCCAAAGAGAAAATGGACTGAACAGATGAAAAGAAAATTCACAGAAAATGAAAAATTAAATAACAAATCAACATATTTATAAGGCTCAACCTCATTAGTGCTATGACAGCAAAAATTCTTCATTGGAGTTACTATTTTGCTGGACACCAATGAATATAGGCTATAGGCTGGAAATAAATTAAAATCCTTTTCTTAGAGCATATTAAGTGTATTTGTGCAGGTTTGCGTAAAACCCTTTCTGTATAAATCAGTTGGTTAGATTTTGGTTGGAGTGCAAGTGAGTTTGGCAAAAATGTAATTCTACAAACTCTGCCACTTCCAACTCTATTCTTCTTCCTGTCAAAATGGTGTCCCACTGGTCTAACTCAACCTAAGAGCGGGTAGCAAAAAGCTTTAACGGTCCTCTGTCTGGCTTTGGTTTACTAAAATGTTTGGTAGACCATTACTGACTAGAAAACATGTCCGCATATGTCACACCTCTAAAAAAGGGGGGGAAATAGTAGTTTGATTCCCAATGTGTACCTTTGGGGGTTTTTTTTAAGTAAAAACAGGAAACTGCACTGAAAAAAGAAAATTGTGATCTCCATCTATATTTGTTGTTGTAGAAAGATGTTATTTGGTAAATTTCTTCCCAACTAGACTATAAACTCTATGAGAGCACAGACTATATGTCTACTCCACTCTACTGCTGAACCTGGCAGTGATCTAGAAAAGGGTAGGCACTCAATTTAGTTGAATAAATAAATGGATAAATCCCACAATAGATTAAGTGAAAAATCAGGTTATAAACCAATATGCATTGTAAGACTCTACTCTGTATAAAATATGATATATTTACATGTACCTATCTGTGTGTGTATCTGTACATTTATACACATAGGAAAATGTCACAGGGTGTTGAAATGATAGATGATCTTTTTCTAACTTTGCTAAATTTTATGCATTTGTGCTATAAATATGTGTTGCTTTTATAATCTAGGGGGAAATCTTTAGAAGGAGAGGGAGAAGAGTGAAGGATAAAGAATAAATGATAAAAGATGGAGAATAAAGAAGCAGTCACCACTGGAAGATGGACTGTTTAATCCTAATGATAGAACTGAAAGGATTTCAAGTATCCATTTGGAAAGGTTCCTGTCACACCTTTGACTATTCCATATAGGTAAATACCTACTCTACATACTCTGGCTTCCTTCAAAGGCAAAGAGGTGCACAACTCTTTCTTCAAATGGGAGATGCATTTGAGGGATTCCTCAAGACTCAGAAAACTCAGAATTGCCAACCTCCTATTGACTTAGAAATATTCCTCCCCAGCCCCTACCCTGGTCTCAGACATCATGCCCTCAGCCTAGAAGCTTCCCTGCACATGGTTTAGTCCCAGCCTGTGTCAAGAACATGGAACATAATGCTAGTCCTGGAATTCTTCTGGGATTTTATCTGGATCTCTCCCCTGGAGCCTGGCCTTTCCTCCATCTTGCTTAGATTCTCTCTCCTTCCTGGGTCTGCTCCAGGCTTCCTTTCCAACATGCCTTGATTGACCTCTCTCCCAATTTCAAGTATCTTTCAGTCTTTCACTGACTCTCCCAATAGCCCTCTCAACCATCTCTCTTCACAAGAGTTCACAAGAGGGTCCTAGGCTATCACTGTCAACTTTCAGCTCCATCCTGCCTTGGAGTGTGACTATCCCATCTTCCTTCCAAGCTGGTGGGTGGGAGGTCCTGCTCTTATTCATTCCTATTCATCCTTTCAATTGATCATCAAACTTTCACTGAATGTCCCTATGTAGAGCCCTGAGACAGTTCTCCAGAACCAGCTTTCCACATGTAGAACGGATAGATAAAGAGGCTGAGCAGCCATCCCCAAACCCAGCTGCGTTAGTCTAATGAGAAGCTGGGTTAATCCAGGACAGTCAGCTTCTTCCCAGCAAGTTAACCAATACATAGAGCAGGGCACCTGGGGTGTTTTCCAAGGGATTGATGGTGTCTCTTGCAATGTCTCCAAAAGACTGGTAATATTAACAGCAGCAATCCAGAACAGCCTTCTCTGCTTCCAAAGTACCCAGAGCTGTGTCAAGTGTAAATGGGGACGAGGGCTACCTCCTACCTGTAGGCCTTGAAAAGATGAGCAAGGATTTATTGAACACTCAAGGGTAGGAACTTTACAATGTCTCCTTCTCCAAGTCTTGAGACCAGGGCTGCTGTACTCTGGAGATCAGATTAGATGAGCTTAGGTGGTATGATTGGGCTTAAGAATAGGAGGCCAGGTCCTGGCACTCTCCTTGGAACACCAGACAAATGTACAGATGCTCTGTCATTAGTCTAGCTCTGACCTGGGGAGGTGACATATGATCTACCATGACTTACAACCCTCAGGAGCTGTGTCATTACCTTGTCTTCTTCCTTGGGTTTGGGTTTCAGCTTTCCCAGCTTTCTGAGAACAGCTGGGAAATGCCAGTGAAAGGCCAGGCAAGCATGCATCCTCCTGATTCCTAATTTTACATCCATCTGGAGTGAACTTCACTAGTATAGCACTCCTACCCTCTCTCTTACCTGATTAGTGAGTTTGGAAGGAAGAACTGGGCTTGCATAGCTCTGCCCCTCCATCTCTTAGGATCTGGCTGTCCATAGAAAGCTTATGTTCTTCCCTCCTATCTACCATGAGGGCGTCTGACCCCATTGGGAAGGCCATGATGGCCTTATGCTGCCTGTTCCCAGGTAGGAAATCTGACCTAGTCTTGAGGTCCTGTAAAAGAAACCCATTCCTCCAAAATATAAGTCACATTCTCCAATATCTGCTTTGTTGGTAATAAAGGCAATATTGGCTCTCCATTTGCTCATCCCTTTGTCTTATGTTTTAATTGGCTCAGAATCTGGTCAGGGAAAAGACCTCTTCAGACCCCAGGAGCTACGTTCACAGAAAGAGAATTTGCTCTGTGTCTGGCTGGCATTGGAGTGAAACAAAGGAGCCAAAGTCCCAGTAGAATCTATTCCCTTGATGAACTGCAAAACCCTCTTCTTCCAAGACTGGATCACAGAGGCCTGCTGCAAGGCAGGGAGATGGATGGGGAGACCTCTTTGGGAGTCGGTGGGGGGTCCTCACTTAAACAATGTAAATACTCTTGGACAGAACTATCACAAGAAACCCAATCAAATGGAAAAAGGAGAGGTGAAGACTATTCAGTTGCCTTTATATCCACTACTGAACTTCTGGAAGACCAGCAGACATATTTGATTTACCTCCACTCTTGGGCTTTGGTTTATTCTGTGACTCCTTGAATGAAAGCCAAATACCAGAATATGAAATACAATGCAATTTATTGAGAAAAGAAAGTGTGACATAATCATCACCAGAGGATCCACAGCTCAGGGAATTAAAGGGACAGAGGTAAGTCAGGATATGATGCCCAGATGTGGGGAGGGCACCCTGGGAACCAACAGTCCAGAGACCTTGACCATCCACCCTCTAGCACTGGCCCCATTGCACTGCCTTCCTCAGGTGTGGCTGAAACTCCCAGAGAGAGAGAGATGGGCCAGAGTGGGAACAGACCAGTCTGGGAAGGCCCACACTGGTTTTGACTCAGGAGTTGCTGTCCAAAGTCAGGGCCCATCACAAGGCACATTTAGGGGTATCGTCATCCCAGACTAGCATCTGGACCTCCCTGTCCTAGAAGACATCTTGGGCATAGAGGAGCCAGGAAGAAGTTCAGCCCCTTCTCCAGGAAACTTGAAGAAAGGCAAGGTTGAAGCTGGCATCTCTTGATGCCAAGCAGAGAAGGGAAGTGCTGTTGCAGGCTGAGAAGGAAGCAGGTGGGCATGGAGATTTGGCCCCGGAGGATCACTTAGAGCTGTGCTGGCTGGAGCTGGTGGTCTGGGAGAAGCGGATACCAGAGCTGCCTCCACTGCCAGACTTGTAGCCACTGCCTCCAGAGGACTGGATGCCGCCAGAGTTGGAGCCAATTCCACTCACAGAGCTGCTGCCTCCACTGCTGAGCCTGCTGCCACTGCCACCAGTCTGGTAGCTGCCGGTACTGCCGCCGGTCTGGTAGATTCCAGTACTGCCGCTGGTCTGGTGGCCTCCAGTACTGCCACCGCTAAAGCCGCTATAGCCACTGCTGCTGCCACCCTTTACTCCTCTGTAGTCACCAATGCTGTCTCTGCTGGTGCTGCCGCCTTTGTAGCCACCGCTGCTGCCACCGACCCCTCCAAAGCCTCCATGGCTTCCGCCCGAGCTGCTGCTTGTGTGGGTGACATTGCTGACCACCGCTAGAGAACAGGCTCAATTCAGACTGACAGCCTGGGTTTATATCCCAGCTCCACCCTGCTTGGCTGTGTGACTTAAAAAAAAAGAAACCTAACCTCTCTGAGGCCTCAGCTGGTAAACAACAAGAGTGAGCCTGGCCCTCTGGTGCCCTTTTCCAAGAACAAGAGCCAGCAGTATCCACAGAAATGTCTGGTTCTCCGACCTAGGGAACTCCCCAAGACCACTAGGGGTTCTAGCTTTAGCCTGAGAGTTTGCCAGTTTACATTAGGGACAGAGTGTGTGGCCATGGCCTGGCCTCCTTGCATGGGTCAGGTTTTTCTGCCTAAAGGTCAGTCAGAAAAGATGTTTCTAGTTCTCCTTTTAACAACACAAGGAGAAGGTTTTTGAAGGGTTACTTACAAATGCTCACAGCACTCTGACATTCTCCAGACAGCCTAAAAAAGAAGAGAGAAGGAGAGGTGGATTATTTCTGCAATGAGTCATTAGCCAAAGAGCTGAGGGTTCATAATTTTGGGAGCCAAATTCACCCATTTGTCCAACTCAGTTCCTCGGTTCCACTAGCCACATTTCAAGTGCTCAAGTGGCTAATAGCTATTGTGTTAGACAGAACAGGTATAGAACATTTTTGTCATTTCAGAAAGTTCCTCTGCATAGCACTATAACTTTTGTCATAACCCCAAAGCACTTTTTCTTACACATCGCACATAGTAAGATCGACAGAGGTATGTACAACAATACAATATTGATGTCCATGGTAAATTGTAGAGTTAGACAATCTCAGTTGACAAAAAATAATGGGGCTTGAATCCTAAATGCTGTCATTCAGGAGATTCTTTACCCTTTGTCTGAGTCACCCTCTCCTTATCATTTTGCCTTCTTTCTTCATTATCAAAGATGACTCCAAAATTATACCCAGACAATGCTGATCACAGCCTCTCACCTGCACTCCTCGCCCTCCAGCAGCTTCCTGTAGGTGGCAATCTCCACGTCCAGGGCCAGCTTGACGTTCATCAGCTCCTGGTAGTCACGCAGCAGCCGGGCCAGATCATCCTTAGCCTTCTGTAGGGCAGCCTTCAAGCTTTCAAGCTTGGCATTGGCATCTTTGAGGGCCATCTCTCCACGCTGCTCAGCATCAGCAATGGCCGCCTGAAGGTTGGCATTCTAGGGCAGAGGGAGGTAGGAGACCAATTAGCATAGTAACCAGGAAACAAACAACTGATCTTTCCTGTGAGATCTCTTCCCCATCCAGCATCCCTTCCTTCCCTTCCCATGCTCAGAAACAGAAGTTAGTTTTGCAAATGGTTCATTCATTCATCTTTGGTCCATTGAAATTAACTCATGTCTCATCAAGAAAAGGAATGCTGATTTTCTGGAAAAGGTAGCAGCGATCTGGTGAATGGTTCTTTTTTGTAAGATTGTTTAAAAACTTCCTTTCTTAATCACTTCATTCTAGTGATACAAATTAGCCATCAAGGTTATGTGAAATACATGACAAATTTTGGGTTGTCGGAAAAGTCATGACACATTTTTGCAATGAAAAACATAGAAAAAAATATGTCATGACTTTTCCGACAACCCAATAGTTCAGTGAAGGCAGATCCTACAGAGAGCTGAGTGTTTAAGGTCACCCCTACAGTTACAAGATTTGCAGAGAAAACCAGAATGGACAACCATCTCTCCTTAGGGAGACTTCAAGAAGCCCAGCCTCCAGGAGGAACACCTGGGAGAACAGAGTGTCCTGGGGACTGTGCTGTCCCACAACATGTGATACCATGAAAAAAACAGAGAAGGCATATGACAGAGGCACACCTGTTGTTTGTCTTTCTCTCCAGGGCCCAGAAGACCTCCAGGATCTCCCCACTAAGCCCAGACCCACCTGCTTCTTGACATTCTCGATCTCAGCCCGCAGCCTCTGGATCATCCTGTTGAGCTCCATGATCTCACTCTTGGTGCTCTTCAGGTCATCCCCATGCCTGCCAGCTGTGGTCTGCAGCTCCCCAAGCTGACAGAGGAGAAACCAATCAACATAGTTTTGCAAAGCATGGGAGCATTCTTGATGAAGGTCAGCAGGACCTAAAACTAGAGTGTGGGGATAAAGAAAGCCTCCCACCTTGGTCTGGTACAAGGCCTCAGCCTCGGCCTTGCTCCTCTGAGCAATCTCCTCATATTGGGCCTTGACCTCGGCAATGATGCTGTCCAGGTCCAGGCAGCGGTTGTTGTCCATAGAGAGGACCACAGATGTGTCACTGACATGACTCTGCATCTGGGACAGCTCCTGGGGGGATGGGGAGGAGGGGGTGGACATAGATCGTCATCGTCACTATCCCCTGGCCCCAGGGGATGTTGGGAATGAAGAAGTCTAAGAATCTTCTATCAGAATATACCCCAATGATGGGGCCAGGAATAGGACAGTTAGAAAAATAAGCTTACATTTCAGGCCTGGCTATGGCCTAAAGGATGCTAGACAACAAAGCTAAAGGAAAAGAAACACGCAAATATAACCAGGTGTCAGCCTGAAAGTATCAGCCACTGAGCATACTGTGTGGGTTTCTATGGGACCATAGTAGGGAAGAGTATGCTGAAGGAGCTAACTGTGATGCTAGTATGAGAGCCAGAGGGACGGTGTAGAACAAAATGGGGGAATAAAGAGGACAGAAAGGGATCCTGGCCCTATGGGCCAGGTCTATACAGGATGGGGAGTTAAGTTAGCATTTCCTGGGTAGGGCAGAGCTCAGTTCTGAGCCCGGTCACTGCTTTTGCGAGTGTTCTGCCACTTGACTGTCCCCTCAAGATACACTGAATGTGTTTGGGGGGATGCAGACAGGAAAGCTCTGGAGCTTGGCAAACCAAGGAATCACCATCTCATAGAGGGTCTTCAGGAAGTTGAGTTCATCTGTCAGGCCGTCCGCCTTGGCTTGCAGCTCCACCTTGTTCATGTAGACCGCATCAACGTCCTGGGGGGTTGGGGAAGGGAGGGCAGTCCGAAACCCAAAAGAATGACCCTCTGCTCCCCTGCCACCCATACCTCTTTCCTAAGTCTTCATCTCTCTTCTTTGGCCCTCATCCATCCCTCCTCCTAATTGTGACTTCTCACCTTTTCTTTTCAAAGAAAGAAAAAGAGTTTTTCTTCCTTTTAATTGTTTTGACCAATCAAATCCCAATGCTATATCCAACTATAAGCCCTATTAGTCAAGCATGGAGGAAGGGTAGGAAAAGCACATTTATCTAATATGTGGCTTTGGTTATACAGTACCCAAAACTCAACCTCCTGAATAGAAAGAAATGAAGGTACTCTAACTACTTCATCTTTATGATAAAAGATTTAAATAAGCTACAAGTATTTGTGGGTTATTGTTGTTAATAATATCCAGACACATTTGAAGGCTGAAATCCTTGATTAATGCTAGCATGTATTAGTTGACATTACTAATCAGCTCATCAGTCACATTGTAAGATGTCTTCCTTACCAGCAATGTACTCAGAGCAGCTTCCTTCATCAAACACCTCACTTCCAAAAATGCAAGGTTAAATGTAAGCCCCATACCCAGCATAGGGTCACTGTGCCCCAGAGCTGGCTCTGCTCTCTCTCCATGGTGGCAGTGTCAAAAAAGGACCCTTGACCTGCCTGTCCCAGTTCACTTACCTTTTTAAGTCCCACAAACTCATTCTCCGCCGCAGTGCGTTTGTTGATCTCATCTTCATACCTGGGAAAGAAAGAGGCACACATTTGAACAGTGACGTTTCAGAATTACAAAGAAAAAAGATAAAGATCTCAAGCACTTATATAGAATCTCCTCACTCAAAGACAGGACCAGCTTCATGGGAGTATAACCTGTGCAGTTACACAAGCTCTGGGCTCAGAAGGTCCTCATACTCAGTTCAGTGCTCTGTTGATGCCATCTTGAAAAACAAGGGCCCTGTGTTTTCATTTTGCACTGAACCCCAAAAAATATATAGTCAATTCTACCTAGCGGCCATTCAGAACTCAGGCCACTGCCTCACCCTCCTCACTCTAAGTCCCAGTGACAGGCAGGGAGACTTGAAGGAGCCTGACCACTTGGACCACTCGCCCTGCTCTGACAGAATTCACAACATGTGCCTATGAGGTATTTGCTCAGAGCAAGCATTTTTGTTTCTCTTTTCATTTATTAGAGTTGCTTCTTACAGGAATCTGGGATAAGAATGAACTCATATCTTCTGAATGCATGAAGGTTATGAGCTTCGTGCCTATTAATGACTAAAATCTCCCACCGAATTTGAATTTCATGAAAATTAAAGACTGGAACCATTCTGGGAAAAAGGAGGGTTCCAGGCAATGGGAATATGAGTTGCCACTGGATTCCCAGAGTTGCCACTGCAGCCTGCCACAGATGGGTGCGCACCAGATTTGTGTAGCTGAATTGGAATGGGACCTACTCAGAGCAGGTGTACCCACTCCTGTGGGTCCTAACCCCCGAGAATGTCTGGAGTTCCCTCCCCACCTTGAGAGCCCTGTTCCCCTCTCACAAACTTCAGAGAGTGTCCACTACAGCCCCAAACATGCAACAGGAGGCTGAATGAAGTTGCTGACTCAGAGAATTCGACTGGACTGAAAAGCTGCTGCTTTACAAAGTGGGGCCTGGACCATCTGCCCAGAATCCCTGGGGGCTGTGAGGCGCTCAGACTCCTAGGACTTCCCCACACTCACTGATTCAGAGTGTCTAGGACTGGGGCACAGAAATGTGCATTGTGACAAACTTCCAAGGGGATTCCTATTACAATAAAATGTGGAGGACTCTCCGTCCTAAAGGACTTCAAATGCTGGGAGGCTCTCTTGTCCTTCTGGGCTGGTGTAGGAGGGGGCCTGCCTGCAGACTGAAAACCATGTCATAATCTGCCACCTAGAAGTCTCAGTCCCCACCCTCTCACCCTCTTCTGCTTGGTCATGCTTCCCTCAATAAATCCACCCACGAGTATTGATTGAAGGTGTAGTCAGGAACAGTTAAAATCCCAAATTGGGGCCAGGCCTCCCTGCTATTCCCCCGGAAGTGGAAATCCCCCAGTTGGGGCCCTCACTTCTTTTTGAAGTCTTCCACCAGGCCCTCCATGTTCTTCAGTTCTCCTTCCAGGTTCCCCCTCTCCCCCAGAGCCAAATCCAGCTGTCTGCGCAGGAAGCTGATGTAAGATTCAAAGAAAGGCTCCAGGTTGTTGGGGCCCGAGCCGGAGCCTGAGGTCTGCTGCTGCAGCAAATTCCATTTGGTTTCCAGGACCTTGTTTTGCTGTTCCAGGAACCGCACCTGCATCAGGGGAGGAAGAAAAGGGGTCAGCCTCTTGAGTTGGGCAGGTGGGGCCATCTATCCCAAAGAGTAGAGATATGGGACATGAGCCCAGTTTTTGAAATGGCAATAGCCTCTGGGTTTGTTGTTTTGTTTGTTTGCTTTTTGGAATTTGGGAAGGATGAGAATTTAGAAAAGGAAGAGCTAAACTATGTTAAGTGCTCACTTTATATCGCTTTTCATATATTCTATCTAATTTAATCCTCACGGCCACCTATAAAAGAGGTGTTGTTAACCCCATTTTGTAGATAAGGAAACTGATATTCAAATAGCTTAATTAAGTTTCCCAGAGTGATGTGGCTACTAGGTGACAAAGCTAAGAGTCAAACCAAGCACTGCCCTAGTCTATTTGGATCTTTCAGAATACAACTAAAGGAGGACAGCATAAATAAAGTCATTTATCACTGAAAACTTGTTCACCTCCAAACAGGCAGTGAAAACAGTCAACGAGGTCTAACTTTTCCGAAGCTGTTTCAGATTTTCCTGAGTTGTTTCCCCTTTCAGTTACTCAGCTTATAGCTGACCTAGGCTTAACTTTCAATCCCAAGTTTGTCCCCCAGACCCAGCACACCCTTCCCTGTCCCAGCATGGATCACTCAATCTAATAGCAGCTGAAGCACAGCACCATTTGGAAGGTAAGCCAGTTGCCAATACTCATCATTGAGAGGCACAAGATTCCTACTATTGCAAGTTTGAATGCCAGCTAGTTTAGATTCTCAAGCAATTGCTTTGCAACAGTAATTGAAAATTAGCTGGGATCGTTTCATGGCTAATACCCTATTCTTAAAAAGAGCTAAGAGCATGTTTGGACCCTCACCTCATTTTCCCTGGTCCTATCCCCAGAAGGAAATCAGAAGCCAGATTCCTTTCCCTATTTCATAGCTGGGTCCAAAGAGCACGAGAAACATGCTCATTGTCCTGGAGGGGCCAAGGTAGAACCAGGACAAGAAGCTGGACCCCGCCTCTAAGGCTGATAAAGCCCACTGGCATCTTTCTATACCAACCGCCTGAGTGGCCCAAACCGTCCACGACACTTCTGGACTTTGCCCTCACCTTATCAATGAAGGAGGCGAACTTGTTGTTGAGGGTCTTGATCTGCTCCCGCTCCTGGGCCTTGACTTGCCCAATCTGAGGGTCGATCTCCACATTGAGGGGCTGCAGGAGGCTCTGGTTGACAATCACTTCCTGGATTCCCCCAGGGAAGCCACCAGGGCCAAATCCACCAGGCCCACCAAAGCCACCAGGCCCCCCAAAGCCACCAGCTCCTCCAAAGCCACCAGCTCCTCTAAAGCCACCAGTCCCACCAAAGCCACCCCCCATTCCTCTGCCACCACCAAAGCCACCACCAAAGCCACCACCAAAGCCCCCTCCATAGCTACCCCCAAAGCCACTGCCACAGCTACTACGCCCTCCCCCAAAGCCACCAGCCACGCTGCTGGAGATGCTCTTGTTGCCACCCAGGTTGTAGAGGCTGCGACTGCCAAAGCCGCCTGCTCCACTCGGGAACCCACAGGCCCCTCCACTGGCCCCCCCAGAGCGGGCCACACAGCTCATCCTGCTGCTGCCGGAGACCATGGCGGATCGGCCGGAGAAGCCCTGGCGCCCGCCGCCTGATGTCTTGCAGACTTGTCCCTTCATGGTCAGAGAGCTTGGAGGTGAGCTAGTAATCACTAAGCAAGAGCTGAGAGGGATGAAGACAGAGGATGGAGACAACAGAGGTGGCTGGCCTTTATATACCAAGGAGCTTGGCTTGGCAGGAGAAGCTGGCAATTAGCTGAGAGTCATCTTGGGTTTGGTTTGCCTCCCAGGCAATAAGTTATTTCTAAGTTCCCAGCACACCTCAGAAATAATCCTCTGGACCAAAATGACTTTGCTTTCACAGCTTAATCACCCAAACTTGCCTTAGTTAACAAAAGGCTGTAGCTCTCCTCCTCCCTTCATGTGATTTCCTCAAGGGTCTTAAGGAACTCAGGCAACACCAATTCCAGCAGGATGATTGGGTTTTGACACCAGCAGATTAGGAGCCACTGAGCTCCATGACACAGGGGTGAGGACCAGACAACCTCTTCCAGGTTGGCTGGGTCCCTTCCTGCAGTGCCTGAGTGCCACAGCCCAGTGACATGTCATCTGTGCCTACCTCTTCAGGGAAATGTCCAGAGGAGGACTTGGGGGAGGAAGAGGAGAGGTGAGAGGTACTGACCCCACAGGGCGCACCCTGGCACCACCTCAGCCAAAGCATTCGTTTAAGCCAGCCTGCCATTTGAGCTGAGAAATGTTGCTCAGGGGAAATAAAATGAGAGAGATAATGACCCCTGGGAAAAGTGGGGGTCATATATGAATCAAACAAGTAGGAGGCTTAGGAAGAAGGAGAAGATGTGGGCAGGGAGGAGCCTCAGCGCAAGCCCCTCCACCACCATCCTAGACCAACAGCAGGTGACTTCTGGATCCAGAAGCAAGAGAAGCAAAACGTGGGCACCCTCCAGTTGGCTAACAGAGTCAGCTCAGAGACCCCATTCAGCTTGGGATGAGAGTGTGTGCTGTGTCAGATCTGGTGGCCTTAGAATCGCCTATATCACCACCTGGTCTGAACTAGATACCCCTCCCTGTTTTTCCACCATACCCTGTACTTTTCCCACCATGGACCTGACTTAATGTATACGTATCTGTTTATTTGTCAGTGTCTTTCTAGGCCCTGAGCTTGTTGAAGGAAAGGATTGAGTCCAACTCATTCTAAATCTCCAATTCTTGCAAAGGATAAGCACCACACGAACGTGTGTTAACTAACCAATGACCAGTATTTAAGAATATAAATATCTAGACTCAAGTCCCACCCCACTCTTATGGAATGAAAATCTTCAGAAGAAGGGCTTGAGTGTCTATATTTTTAACAAGCCCTCCAGGTAATCCTTATGACCAGGTAAGTTTGAAAACCCCTAGTTTAGGTTATGGGTGTTCCATCTGGGCCGGCAGGTGGGGGGACCCTTGGTGGTGGGGTGGGTACAAAAATGCTTTACTGCTCTAACTTCTGACAGCTCAACAGTCCTCCATCCTCATGCCAACCCACCTCCACATTCAATGACACCATTCATGGCAAGAGCAAATTCTCAGGTTGTTATCTACATATGAGACTTCACAAAGTATGACAGGAGTAGGGGAGACTGATTTTAGACTTCCCCAGAAATAAGTGGTTGGTATATCTCCAGAATTCCTGTTAAATTAGCAGTGAGCACTCTCTTTCTAGGATGGTTTCCAGACAAGGCAGTCTGGGGCAAAGGATTGGTCTTACAGACCCTGAAGAACCTCAAGTCAAGAAATTTGAAATGTTCTACAGCTAGTTCTCAGTTCTCTGCTCTGCAGTTTGCCTGCCTCGTTAGAATCCCAGCTCCATCACTCACTAACGTTAGACAAGTTATTTAACTTTTATGTGACCTGGTTTCCTCAACTATAAAATGGGGGTAATAATAGCAGGTACTCTATGGGATTGTGAGCATTAAACAAGTTAAATAAATATGAAATGTTTGTATGGTGCTTGACACATAGCAAGCACTGCACATTTAGCTATGGCTAGTATTCTATTTGGGGACATGGGGAAAGGAAACAACTTATGTTTGGCCTTGGCTGTTCTCGAAACAACTTCACACCCCTGAGGGGGGAGAATGCTAGGGAAAGGAAGCTGAGTGTGAGTGGAGAATAAGAAAACCAAGCTGGGAGAGTAGAGAGCAAGGCTTCTGCTAGAATGGATTTTGGTTGGGTGACCTTGCGCTGTGATTTAACACATAAGTGTGTGTTCTGACCTGTCAAATCCTTTCCGACCTCATTGGTTTGTGGTGAGCCTCACAGGATATAATGTAAGTGAAATTCCTTTGAAAATTACAAATTGTCACACAAGAGTAAGGTAACTGTGGTCTAACAGTAAGCCTGTCATCATGCACTTCAGAAGACCTGGATTCAAATCCTCGTCTACCTCTCACTGTGTAGTGACTTTGAACAAGGTACTTGACTTCTTTGTGCCTTTCTTTCCTTATTTGTAAAATGAGGATTCTATCCCAGTTGCAGGATTGTTTTGATATTTAAATAGTGTCCAGCAACAAATGTTTGGATTTTTAAATCAACATTATCCATCCAGACAATCCACAAAGGGGATTCTGTGTTGGGTTCTTTTTTGAGACATTTACTCCACCTATTAATTGAATGCCAGTCCCTCTTGGTGAGGTCTTTATTCATATTCTTTGAAATTCCTTTAAGAGCAAAAAATCAAATGCCCTTCCTGGGAAGAAAGCTGATCCAGGCTCACCTGAAGCTCCAGGTGAGAGCCCAAAGCAAACAGAAACAGACATCAGTGTCGCCGACGCCCTTCCCTTCCCTTGGCTCCAGTGCTGAGGCAGCGGTGGTAGCCTCCTAAGTGTGGCTCATCTCTGCCACCCTGGCATACACTGGAGAATTGGAATTGAGAGAGGCGATGGGAAGATCACAAAAGCACAAGTTTGGGTTGGGTGCTGTTAATCCACGTCTCCCAAGTCTGCCAAAGCATCACCCTATTTAGCAGGTTGGGGTTGTTTTCTCAGCAATTGACTGAAGCTGCTAGACATATCCAGAGTTAGCATCCTCGGCAATATTTTTGCTATTCACTGCAGGATCTTTTAGAGCAGTGGCATCTAAATGAGCCACTGCTGCCAATAGCCTGAGCTCTAGTCACTCTCCTGCCAGAACTTTCTGTGTGAAAGTTGCCAAGTGGCTGAGCACTCTGGATCCTTATTTCCTCACCTATAAAATAGGGGGAATTGTCACCAAGCACTTATTCCCTCTAACCAAATTGTTCTCTGGTAGTCACTGCACTAAGAATGTTTAACAGCAGCCTGTAATATAATTGTGAGTAGAGGAATCGTGAGACAGTAGTCATTACCTGTAGGTCAAAGTGAGCCGACATCGCTCTGCACTAGGAGCTGAGGATGAAACGGCGATAGTTTCATGCCACTTTATATGTGTGCATTCACAGATCCAGTTTGCAAGATCATCATTAATTTGCTGTCCAAAAAATAAAAAATGAACAGTCACTTGGGATATGCTACCCCAGGACTAAGAATTACCATTGTTTTCTCCTTTTTTACCATGTTAAAATAAAAACTTATCACTGCTGAAATAACTTTACTTAACAAATGTTCAATAAAAATATATTATCATATAGAACTACCTCCCTTTGTAGCTAAAGCTTGATAAAGAAATAAACATCTAAGTACAGCTAAATCCTTTAGTTACTAGGTCTTAGCTGTTAACGAACACAATTTATTCTAATTCTGGTCTTCTCTCCAGACTTGATTAAAATAGTCTTCAACTCACCCCTAAATCCTTATCTGGTACTAGATTCTCCCCAGGGCTTGTCTAGGGCAGAATTCTATCCCCCAAGATAGCTTTGATTAAAAGGTTCTGTGGTCAAATAAATTTTGGAAATGAAAGTTCTATAGCTTTCTCTTAGGGCATTAATAAAGCTCATTTGCATATTCAAAGCTCTAAGAAGTCCTATAAAAAAGAAACATTTACTTTTACTTAATCAGAGTTTCTCAAACAAACCTAACAACAAAACCTTTCTATCTTAACCGCTGTTAACATGCTATTGAATGTACTTGTAGAAACACTAGTCCACTACACATCCAAAATGGAAAAGAATATGCAGATAGGGCAGTCAGGGGGTTAAGGCATAAGGTCAAGGAAACTTTTCTCATCCCTGGAGAGAAACCACTTGCTCCAAGCAGGACAGAGGAAGCTAAGAGCATGTTGAGGCCTGTGGGTTTAAGAAGCCAGGAAAAGCTCTGTGGGATGCTGGAAAATGGAGAAGAACCCTGAGGATGAATTCTCCTGTCAATGTCTATTTCTCACCAGCTATGGGTCTTGCTGGGTCTTCCCAAAAGCCATTGACCTTCCCTCAGGAAGCATCATGGGAAAGGGGCCTCATCCCTTTTCATTGGCATCCTAGATTTTCTGGAACTCAAATGATAGCACCTCCTCCCTCTCGTTCCTTGCAGCTTGGAAGAGTGGAAGAGTGGAGACCTAGGAGTTAGGCAAGTTGTTTTACCTTTGGGCCTCAGTTTTTCTAGTCTGCAAATTAGGGTTAGCATAGCCTCCTCATGGGATTGCAGTGAGAACTATAGGAGGTCATGTTAGAAAGCCTTTATACAAGGCAGGTGCTATGGCAACCCTTGTGATGATGAAATTCATGTACAAAGCCCTCCTAGAAGTTGTCAGTTTGGAGGCTGAAGAGAAGGGAGGAGTTCTAAGGAGGAGGTCAGTTTAGGGTCAATGCAGCATTGAAGTCTGATTTTTGCATAAAATTGCAAGAAATCACAGCATCTGAATTGTGAGTTACATAAAAGCCATTCTTTCATGTCTGGCCAAGCCAGTTTCCCACTCCAGGGCTTATCAGTAATGCAATCCATCAATCAACAAATATTTACTGAGCTATTATATACTTCCCAGAATTGTGGGGACTATGATTTAGTATGTCCTCTTTCAAATCTTTACTCCTTTCACCTGTCGGTGAAAAATATATATATATATATTTTTAAATATATATATATATATATATATATATATGGCTAACATTGATTGAGTGCCTGTCATATGCCAGGCACTGAATTAGGCTG